ATTTCACCGAGGTGGGCAGTTTGAACCTTCCTTGCTTGTCAAACGACTTCATTGGTGACAATATATAAATAGTGGATACTTAAAACTTTGGTGGAGGGGGGATGACTTTATGCTCCTATCTTACATTACTTTTCACCATCACATTCCCCTGCTTCTATATTTTTGTACTATTTAATCCACTCACAATAAAATGGCAGAAATAAAAAATGGACACAAAACTAAATGAATCTGTCAAATTGATGAAATAAAACAAGATTTTAATAAATGTATTATAATTAGCAGCACTGGGGAATACAATGATTAAATAGGCTTTGAAAATATAAGCACATGCATTTGATCATAGTCACAATAAAAGAACTATATCAGGTAATCTGACAAATTTATCCATAAAAATATATACTGTATATGGTGGAAGTCACTTAATGTTGCCACATGGTTCAAAGGAAGAAATTCTGAAAAGCCACTTGTCACACTGACTATACAACCTTGTTTTAGCCTTGCTTAATGTCACAACTGTCAATACAAGATATTTTTTCTTTCCAAAGATTTGGGTTACTGATTATTCTCATGCACAGCTATATCAGAAGGCTTAATCTTCTTATGAGGTAACTGGCAGTGCTGAGTCTGTGTCATTAGCTAGTGCATTAAGGGGTGAGCTAGCCGAGTAGTGTTGGTAATGAAAACTGCTCACTGAGTTTTTTCTTTCTGAAAAATATTGAGTGCTGGGAGAATAATTTAGCCAAGCTTGAAAGGGCAGTAAATGAACTTGTGATAAAAAAAAATCCATGAATACTAAGCACCAATCAGCTCTGATATTTCTGGTATAAATGTTTAAAAGGTACAGTCTGCATAAATTTTTTCCTTTTTTTGCTATAACCCTACTTACTGTCAACAATTGGTCAGACTCAATTAACCTCCCACCTCAGTCAATGTCATATTTTGAAGCTGCACATAAACCATGATATTAAGTGACTTCCACTGCATTTGTCAATATGTTTTAATGTTACCATATCCATTTAACTCAAACCATATTATTTTTATTGCAAACAAACTACAGTAAACATACACTTCAATTATTTTCAGATATTCATTCCCTTTTTAATGTTTTCTCATACTGTATATGCTGTGTTTATATTCATTCCCTTTAAATGTTTTCTCATACAGGTACTGTATATGTTTTGTTTTAGTGTCTCACTGCCACAACATGCCCCCAAAGATTTTCATCTTGTTTTCCCATTACTACATAAAACACCTCAGCATCACACATCAACAGCATGTCCATCCCTGAAACTAAGGTCAAATAAAACATACATACAACAACAATCCCTGTGGAGACCCGGAAACATTTCCAGCCCTGTTACTTTCCCCATCATTTAAAAAGGAAAGTTATTGATTCTGAAATCCCATTTTATGGTTGTGACTAAAACTGGGTAGCTTGAATATATATACTGTATATATTATATTGTATCAAATTAAATACATTTATCTGTATATACAGTGGTCCCTCAATTAACGAACACAATTGGTTCCACAAAGTTGGTTGTTTACCGGAAACTTTGTTAACTGAATCTATTATTTCAAAAGAATATTGGGTAATTGGTTCCAACTCGCAGAAAAAGTATACATATAAAGTACTGTATACCAGTAATAGAATTAACAAAACATTAAATATAAACTAAATACAGTACTGTATTGTACAGTATACTGTACAATAATAAATAAGAAACAATAGAATACTATATTTTAACTTACTTTGAGGTGTGTATGTTGTATTCCCGGCAGCTTTGTTTACATATCAGACAGCTGATTGTAGAGGCAGTCGATGATGACATGCCATATTCTTTACAGAGTGCATTGGTTCTAATGCCTTCTTTGTGTTTCATAATAATTTTTGCACTGTATATTATCAATATGCTAACTAAATTTCAGAATGACCAATAATTTTATTATAAAAAATGCAAAAATATTCAAGAGACCAACAAACTCGATGTTCACTCCACTGTAAACAAAGTTAAACTGAAAAGTGTTGGTGGGTGATTCGATCAGCTGAAGGGTATACAAAAAATGCTTCCTGTACTGTATATATTATCAATATGTTAACCTTAAATTTCAGAAGGACCAATAATTTTATTATAAAAAATGCAAAAATATTCAAGAGCACAACATTCTTGATATTTACCCCAATGGAAACGAATGTAAACATATAACCAATTACTGATTGGTGGACTAGCCGATCAGCTGATGCGCACAACAAAGAGTGTTTCTCGTACGGCTGTCGTTAATCGAGTTTTGTTCGTTAATGGAACTGAAATTCTTTATGGGAACTAATTCGTTAACCGAAATTTCGTAAATTGAACCGTTTGTTAATCGAGGGACCACTGTACTCAATAAATCACAACAAAACATCAGTGTCAGACATGGGGCTGAAACTGGCTTTGGCTTCTGGATGCCAGGATTTTTTTGGTTTGGCTTCAAAACTTTCTTGAGGCTTTAGCTTCAAAGCCATGGGCCTCACTTCAGATTTTCTTCTTTGCACAGACACACTGACCATATCGTGACATCAAAGCCGAGTTGGTACCTGATTTTTCTGTTCACGCAATGACCTGACCTACTAAGAAAGCTCAGGTGCATGCTACAGCCTCAGTGGCATTACAGCTGACCCTTCTATTTCTACTTGTCTATTCTCACAATGACCTGACCTGGACCTCAGATAAGTACCACCTGTCCCCCTACCTCCTCAGCCTCAGTTGCTGTTGGCTGACCGACAGGATTCATTGCAATGCTTTTCTGTGATTTGTGACTGTATATTACTGTTTAAAAGTTATCATATATATTAATTTTTTGCATTACTGATTTGTTTTAAGCACTGAATAAATTTAAATCTATAGATAAAATGTTACTATAAGCAACCTTTTTCAATCTAATGAATAAGGAGAGTCAAAACTTACCCCAAGAACAATCGGCTTAAAATAAAGTCAGCTTATCTCAAACCATTGCTTGTTGGCATAGATTTGTTGTGATTGAAGGGAGTGATGACTTCTGTGACTTGTAAAAATGCACCTCTGAACATAATCATAACAAATTACTGTTCATGTTTTATATCAGTGTAGAAAGCAGAATGCTTTTTACAGAATTAGTTTGATTGTTTCTTATGTTATGATCTGAGGGTCAGTGAAGTAAATTCACACTATGACGAGTCTCTTAACATTGAAGCGACTTGCGGGGGACTTCCCTATTATATACAGTACGACCTATCAAGCTGACCCATGACAATAACATTTACAACACTATTGTGTCAACCCTTGTGATCAGAAACAGGTTGACCCCAATGTCATTAGCTGCCATACCACAGAAGAGGGGAATGATTAATAATGACCTGAGTTTACAAGTGATGACTCTGACCTCACTGTCATGTCTCAGTCAGGGGTGGGGATATCACTACAGGTTGACAATCCCTTATCCGAAATCCTTGGGGCCAGAGGCATTTCGGAATTTTTCGGTTTTCAGAATGGTTATTTTTTTATTTATTTATTTTTTGTCTCCAAACCCACCCGGGCATAGATCACTGACCCACATCGGGGCCTGGGAGGGGTGCAAATATTATTATTATTATTATTATTATTATTATTATTATTATTATTATTATTATTATTATTATTATTATAATAATAATAACAATAATAATAATAATAATAATAATACTGTAATAATAATTCATAGATCTACAGTAGGTCGCATTTCTCACTTTTGATCTTTTTTCTTTCATTCTTGCATTTCTTTATTATTATTATTATTTTATAACAGTATTATTGTTATAATTATTATTATTATTAATTTTATTATTATATTTTATTATTACTATTATTATTATTGTTATCATTATTATTTTATTTTGGTGTACAGTATTTAAATTAAAAATTTCATTTATTATGAATAATTATTATTATTATAATTATTATTACTATTACATTTTCGCCCAACAAGCCACGATGTGAGTCAGTGATTTATGCCCGGGTGGGCTAGTCCCTGTTAAAAAAAAAAAAAAAAAAAAAATAGCCCCTCAAAAAAACTTTCGGTTTTCGGAATTTCGGATAAAGGGTTGTCAACCTGTACTAGCAAGACCTTGTCGGTCTTTTTGATTATGACCTGTGTTGAAGGGTTTCTGACATACTAAGGTTGACCCTAGCTGACATCACTGTCAGGATTAAAACTAAAATTAACATTGAACGTTGACCTCAGATTATCTTTCACTCAGAATGAATCTTAGACAGAAAAACAAAGAATGAAAAAAAAGAGGCATGAATTGTAAGAGGGGGGGGGGATGATTGTACAGGATACCTCCAACCCAGCTGTGGGGGGGTATCCCATTCCCCCAAGATCTGTATCCTTGGACTTAATACAACTTAGAATATCATGTGTATTCCTGTCAACATGTAAGGTAATACAGTACATTATATAAGTAATAGTGTTAAAGTTTTATGTAGCCTCGGTAAAGTCTTAGCTTTGGCTTCATGACCTTTTAAATGGCTGGCTTCAGCTTCATAACTTTCCAGTAGCTTCAGCCCCAAGTCTACTAAATGTACAGGTATCATAAAATTAATACTTACCAAACATATGTGCATTAAAACAGAACAAAAAGTAAGTTTAGATATCACAGGAGTATTTTGACTCAATAACAGTACGTATTGTCTATTTCACTCCAGAAACTCCTTGTTGGTTCCCCTCACACAGGAAAGGACACTGATGCAGACGTTGGACACTGACTGACTGATATAGGGATGCTCCCAGATGACTGTGTCAGCACCTCAATATTTTCAGATGATATGAGAAAAGAAAAGTAAAGCCACCAACCAGTTTGTGGCCAGGTCTAAACCACAATTCCAAACCCAATGAAGAGATAACTGAGCCACATTTAAAAATAGGGAAACCATATTTTCCAAAGGTTTTATGATAGTTATATTAATTATAACTATTATTATCACATAAAAAAAAGGAGCATGGGATGAATTGAATTTTTAATTCATGGATAAATTAATACAACATTGTAATGTCTCCAAAGTTCTGTGGATAATAATCATCAAATTAAACTAAACATCATCAGGTCAGTGAAACCAAGTTTCATCAGTAAAAAATTGGGCTCGACTATCTGTTGAAATCGCGAGGTTCAGTAGTAAGAGCCAGACCTCACAGCTTTCCGCACATAAACAACATGGCAGCCACGATAATTTTGTTCACTATTCTGCTACTCTGTTTTGTGGTGTTTTGTAAATTTTTCTGTGAATTTACTGATCATCATAATTTCATCGGAATATTTATCATCACTTGGGCCATCCTTTTTCTAAATCTCTCTGTAGTCTTGCTTTTTTTGCTGTGATTTTGCAATGCTGAGCTGTTTTTGCAGTTGTTTTTTAATATTGCAGTAGTTTTCAAAAGGTCCATATTTCTGAGACCTCTAGATTTTCTTATTTCCAGAATTGTATTATTCAAATGAGGCTACAACTTATTGACTAGACAAAGCTTTGTCACAGACCCCTGGAGTATCTGTTGAAGTTCTAGAAGAAGGATCAGATGCAGGTTGTTCTTCTGGTAATGCAACCTGGGAAGATGAATTCCCAAGAGATAATGAAGTGGATGATGCTTGTGATAGATTACCAAACTCTTGTTGTGAGAAAACTCTTGGACTGAAGTGAGAAGAAGGAGGGCAAATATCATCATAAGAATCATCATCAGAAGTATCAGATGAAGAACCTAATGAGATTATATCATAAAATGGTACTAAAGTACTCCTTTTAAAACGTCGCATGCATGGTGGATCGTCAAGAGAAGGGTGTTTTCGATTAACTGTAAACCATTTTGGTTTTTCTTTCACATCAGTTTCCTCTGAAAGTCCAATAAAACATAAGGGAGGCCAATAGTTGTCTTCCATGAATGAACGAAGACCAGGAGGTAGTGGAAGATCCTCAGGGCGTACTTTCATCTTCTCACAGATGTGCTTAAGCACAACCTCAGATGAAAGAAACTGAAGATTTGCTGGAAATATACAACTAGTGACCAACTTCATCCCTGAGTGAGCTGATGTAGAGGTAACGACAGGGTACAGTTCTAAGTTCTGTAGTCCAGTGAAGGCTATGCCTGCAAATTAAAACAATTCTCAGATTAAAAGTAGCTTTCATGTATATTTACAGTTCTTCATATGGGACCAATCTACAGATGCTGAGCTTAAGAAATTTTTAATTTCTCTGACAAACACATGAAACCTAAAGCAAGTACATACATGTACCCACGATAATCGCGGGGGGTTAAGTTCCAGAACCTACCATGATAAGCAAAACTGTACATATTGAAACACATAAATTATGGGACAAATTAGTTTTGTTCCACAACCCCAAAGATGCATCCCCTAACTGACCAAAATGTGTAAGTACACTAAAAGATATAATACTAGTAACAAATCTTTACTAATTAATGAATAGCAAATAAACAATGTACAGTACTGAACAATATTGTATCATGAATGACAGTCATAGTAAAATGAGTGAGAGAAGCAGTTTGGGTGGGAAGGAGGGAGGGAGATGGGAAGTGGGTGGAAGGCAGTGGATATCATGCTGATCTGCTCTGGCTAAAGCAAATCCATCACTGTGGTAAGTGGTGAGGAGATGATGTGTCAATCGGTTTGTTTGGTAACACTGGCTGCAGCACTGCCAGATGCAATTAAACAGCTGATGTCTACCCACAAAATTGAGCGTAAGTATAAATGAACAATGTCATATTCCTTCCACATTATATTACATAAACTTTAAATTATGGAGTGAGAAAGTAGAAACGTGGGGGATGATTAGATAGGTGGAGTGGAAGGAACTGGTAACACACAATAGGTGTATTGCAAGCACATGCATATCCTTTTTGGGAACATTAGAACATTCAACCAGTGAATACACACGTCTTCGTTGCTTGGCTGGATCAGGAGCCTTAACAGTTTTCTTGTTCACTGGTGCCATAGTGGAAGGTAAGTAAAAGTTACAAAAATTACAAAAAAAACAAAAAAACAAAAAAAAAACATTGAGCAGGAAACCGTCTTAAAACACCAACCAAAACAGCACGGGAAACAAATGCTGTCACTGGAAGCTGGCGCCATTGCCATCTCTCGGCAGTCGCTGCTACCGCTGACCCATGATAATTCCGCAATAACCCAGATCCGTCAGTGATACCAGTACACATGGTTGCAATTGAGGATACCGTGATAAGCCAGATCAGCGATTATTGGACCCAGCGATTATAAAGTATACATGTACTTGCTACCAACAGTGGTCAAGTTCAAAGTGCAAATTCTTTAAAATGGTGATGGAAAATATGGATTTCTGAATTTGCCTGAGGCCTTGGTGTGATATAGCTGCATCCTAAGTTTGGTTAAAATCAACAGCTATTTCTTAAAGTTATTGAGTTCACAATACTGGATGTGTATGTGTGTGCACACAACACACATGTACAAAAACATTTATCTTTTTTTTTTAATTTCCCTTGAAATGTATATGGAAAATGAGAAAAACAATTACTGTACAGTCTTTAAGGTACAAAATTTGGTGCTACTATTGCATAAGATATTTAGGTTAGGTTAGATTAAGTTTGGATAGGTATAGCGTGTGGTCTACAAAATATTTAGGTTTGGTTAGGTAAGGTAAGACTAAAGATATCTTTGTACACTGCACATTATAGTAGCCCACACAGTGAAATACATACAGTACAGTACTGTACACATAATAATTGTATACCTTAATTTATAAGAAACCAGACGAGATTGGAAAAAGTGAACAGTATGAAATATCAAGCCACCATGTATAAGAAATAAATTATCTAAACAATACATTGGCTCCTAATACAGTATATAATTGGAGATATGTTCTCTACAGGGAGGTGGGGGGACACTGATTCAAACAAAATGCCATGCTTTCAAGGAGTTTTGGTTCCTCGTTTGATATCGATTCTATTTTGCATTCAATATGCCCTCAAACAAACACTAAATTGGTATAACTGAGATTAACAATGTGAAAAGGAAATGTAAAGGAGATGGAATATGGAAATACTTGTACTGTACTGCCAGGCGTCAGACTCGTCTAGGCTGATGCTCCATTGTGAGTTGCCAGCATTCTCCACACTTCCAAATTCCAAATTTTTCTTACAATTTTAAACCTTTATTGTACATTATAAGCATATGAAATTTAAGAATGTAGATTATTTTTCTTTCATTTAATTAGAAATTAACTGTGCATGGTGGAGACAAGTCAACTTGCCTTCAATGAGAGGAAGAGGAATAAATTATTCCGTATGCTGTAGAGTACAGTATATGATGATTGTAGGGCAGCAATGATACATTGAGAGCTTTTTTTGTAGGCTTAATGACATTGGTAGTGTCAGGGAATAATTAAATATGTTTGTGAAATAAGTAAACATACTGTTAATAAAAAACTTGCATACCCTGTATTTTCATTATTATTTTGAAAACTTAAGAAAAAAGTAAGTGGGGTTTTCTATTGTACCATCTCGTTTTCCTGTGGCAATTTTACCAGTCTCACTCAGAGTAAACCCGGTATAACTACTTTTTCCTGCCTCACAATTTAACTGATCTATCTCGACTTGCACAGTGGCAAAGACAAGTAAGGAGAGCAGGAGCTACCTTGACTGTGACCAATGTCAACATAAAAAAAAAAAAAAATGGTTGCCCCCAATAATGCAGTCAGTGTATTAAGAGTTTTTAAAATTATTATTAAGTGTAAAGTAGGGTAGTTAATGATAAATCAAAAAGAAAAAACTCACCCATTTCTTGTGAACTGTAATTACAGCATCAAATACCATGAAGCAGTCTAGTTTATTCACAAATATGCAGTTAAAATTAAATAAAAAGAAATTGTATTAGGTGTCTCTGAAGAAGCAGATATTTTGAAGTGGATAATTGGGTAAATATTTATTTTAAGCCCACCGAGGTGTTCAATTTTTTCTTAAGATTTGCTGTCCGTTTGTTTACAATTTGTTATTGATGCTCCCCCCACTCATCTCCCCAACCAATAAGAGAATAAGAGAGCACAGAATGAATCCAGTGTAAATTAGTTTTCCTCTGGACTTAAAGAGCTGAACCGGTGTAGAAATTATCTGAACCGGTCAAAAAGGGAGCAGGAAAATGCGCCTCAAGTTGGAGCTGTACTGGAGCATCAGCTGTGACATCAGTATGGCACAAACATCACATGGAAAGTTGGAAACCCCTTTCCCCTTGTACTCTCACTTGAACCTTGTCACCTTCACCTCCTGTGTGGACCTGTACCTCTCAATGCATCACTCAGTATTTACGTGTTTGTTTACACAGAATGACAGCTCAAATAGGGCCAATCTCAACAAGGCAGTGAATAAGTTGTCACAGGCTCTTGGTGGTGATAAAGTCCAAGACCTCATGAAAGTTCTCTGTGTATTGCACAGAGAACCAAAACTATACCTTGTGGTTGACATATGTACATTCAGCAAAATATTATTCTGCACCTTTTCAGATTCCTACAGTATGGCACAACGGACCAAGAATTCTGAAAACACTCATGAGTCAAAGAGGATGTTGGTAGCCCTGGCTTCCTGAGTTCCCAGTTACACTGTAAATAGTATTTGCCATAAGGTGTTTCAGTGTGTCTGCGTGCACAATGTGTTACAAGATACAAATAAAGCAGTTAACATCACGTAATGATATTTATAAAATAATCAACACACAGTTACCAATACGTAATATTGTATAACTTTCCAAATTTACAAATGTTTCGTATTGTTTTATGCCACTTTTCATCACTTTCTTAGATAGTGGTCATAATCATCAGTATTTACACGATTTCGTTATGGTATGCGAAATTCCTTTACAGCACCTTGGTTTCTAGAGCGCCTGCCATTCCTACCGTATGTGGGTGATTAAACGTAGTAGTACTGTATGGTATATAATGCTGTGACATTATCTGGTTTAAGTGCGATGGGTTTTATATGTATTCCTGATAATTTCTCTGTGGTTACTACACATTATAAAAGGAATAATAGTACATTAGTTTTACAATGAATCACGCAATCAGAGATACCAACCGTACTAATACATGGCGTCAGACTCACAGTGTTCGTTGCGAGAGCCATCGCAGCCCAGGAGTGCAGAATAATTTTTTGCTGACTGTACATGAAGATGGTGGAGATCTTGATGGGCTTCATCAAGGCAGAGAGGGATAGCAACTGGAGCCTGCATCTGGAGGCATTTGCAGCAATGCTACCATGGCTCACAATATATGACGACACAAACTATGCATGATAGGGCCCTGGCTCTCTAGCCAACAATAAGGGTCTAGAGAAGACAGCACTAGAAGCTCACACTGAGTTCGTGGAAGGAAACTTTGTGGTGAAGAAAAGTCAACGGCATTTCAACCAGGTTCCAGTTAATCAAGCCACAGAATGGGTGAACAAAACATGCAAGATGCACAGTGGCACTATTGGCATCACAAGAAATTATTAAAACAGGGACAAATTTTGCATCACATGGGCAGAGCGTACACATATCCCCCAGGACATAAGGTGCCTATTTGACCTGGAATATGATGTGGAAGAGACCACCTTTATATGCTCAGATAAGTCTTCCCTCCCAGATGAAGCATGATATTGATAACACAGCTCACTAAATTTCATGTTTTCAAGACAAATGTACCCATGGTTTCTGATGCAACAAAAGCATGGATGAATCAGATGGGAATAGCTAGACTGCTGCTTTTCTCCTTGGTAACCAATGACACTGCCCATTGTGAAGTAGAGGCTGATCTGTTGATTGCAGTAGACAGAGGAAAGCAAATGGTGATCAGCAATTTCAAACAGCGGCTGATCAATGAAACGTAATTTTCATGAAGTTCTACAGAAAAACAACTTACCACATTTGTGGACCTATGCAAAACAAACGTGTCCACAAGGTAAAGTGTGCAATAACCAGCAAAACTGACTCAAAGCTGCAGCAGCGACTGTTGGATAATGTAAATGTTGGCCGGTAAGTGGAAATGGTAGAGGTTCTCAGGCATGGCTTTTCTCCAGTGCTGCTGTCCTTGGCAAAACCTAGAGGCGAAATAACTCTACACCAAAGGCAGAGCTACAATTATGATCCCTTTAGAAGTTTCAGATGCAGATATGAAGACAAGCATCTTGATTGATGGACACACCCTCATTCAAGCTCTGCGAAAGCCTCAAGGGTTTCATACATTTGGTGACTCTACTGCTGTCTTCCAGTGATCAGTGACAAGACACTTTGGAGAACACACAATGAGGGTGGACATAGTGTTTGACTGTTACATTGGAGTTCACTCTACAAAAGCAGCTATATGAATCAAGAGACTAGAAAGAAGAAGCTTATATGGAAGTTCATCAATGGACCGCACATCCCGCTTCCACAGGTCTGGGGTCAGTTTGTTGCAATTGATGAGAATAAGGTCAACTTTGCATAATACAGTACAGGTAGTCCTTGTTTATTGCAAGGGTTTCATTCATGAAAACCCTCATGATCTGTGAAACTGTGATAAGCATAACTAATTTTCCCATAAGAAACAATGTACATACAGTATCAAAGGGGGATGAATTCCAGGCTTTGAAATTTCTGGGGGTGTACGGACTGATGTTTTGTATAGAACCACTTACAAATTGGAAAAAAAAAGAGAAAGACAGGTACATAGAAATATATGATATATGAAAAACAATATAAAACAACTGAGAGGTGTAAGTTTTTCCTTTCACAGCAGTTCATGAACTGACTTTCCTCACCACCCACCACCATCCCCAAAGAGCAAGCCAAAACCACCATCTACTCCCATTTCTACCACTCTAATGATATCAAAACAATAAGCCTTTAGTAAATATAAAAATTTATACAAGAGTTATGTAAGTTGTTGTAGTGAGCGATTTATTGAAATGCATGTGCTTATTCTCCTTCTCATGACCCTGAATCAAATAATGCATTTCTGCGCATCTACAGTAGAAGGCTCTCTCATAATATTTTAGTTTTCTGTTGCTATAACACTGCTAAAACTAAACATTAAAATAAGTAAATACTGTATTGCTCTTACAATTAAAATGCAAGAAATCAAAACTCTGATAAGAAAATTTATGATAAACAAGGACTACCTACACTGTACTAATACCTGTAGTTTGTTGACTTTCCTGTACTATTACAGTACTGTACAAGTGATGCATGTGCTTTTCTCATTATTCTCTACTTACCTAGAGGCTTCCTGTTAAGGAAGAACTTTAGGGTGCCACGCCACATGTCCAGATGAATTCCTACAATGCTTCCCTTACCCCATCGTGGTCCATACGGACGAAACTGGGATGCGTGGCGTATAATACCTGCAACAACAATATGGCTTTAATGTTACTAACTAGTTACGTACAGTATAAATAATGGAGGATATATTATACTGTACTGTACTAACCTTTATACTTATGAAAGCTGGAGAACCTAGTGAAGCATATTCTAACCTAACCTAATCTTATTTGGTTGCAGGTGCATACACTTGTTTTACTGACATCTGGATGCTGTACAGTAAACCTGAAGGGGAGGAAAACCCAGTTTAATAATTAATTAACAATTAGAAGAGGAGTAAACTAAGTACAGTACTATACAGGCATTCCCAATTTACAGAAGATTCTGCTCCTGAAAAATTGTTGCAAATTTACTTTTCATAAATTGGGGTTCACTTTCCCATAGTAGTCCCATTATAAAAGCTAAGATGCATTCCTGGGGGGGGGGGAATACTTACTCCAAAATGTCTTTAAAATCCACAAAACATATTTTTAATTTTGGTGTACACAATGATTACAGGTATCCCTCGTTTATTGATCATTCATTTAGAGATACAGGGTATACAATTTCTAACACCCTTTCTTGTTTAACGACGGCCAATTCTCAGTCTAGCGATGTTCGACTCACTGGGAAAGTTCGGGAGTGAAGTTGAAAAAACCGGGGATTCTGTGCTCTAAATATGCATCATAAAAATACTGTACAGTACTGTACTCTAATGTAGCTTAGAAATAAAGAACAAACAGTATATTGTAATATCAAACTATAAAAAAAATGAAGAGCACAGGTGTGTATATTGTGTGGGGGAAGTGAATGTACTGTATGTATTGAGGAAGTGACCTGTAACTTTTGCCAACCCGCACTCTCCCTCCCCCTTATGTGACACCATGACATACAGGCAGCAGCCACACACATCTCATGAGTCAGCTCGGTGACTGCCTGAGTGAACTGTGTCGTGTGTATACTGTACCAGTAAATGTGAGGATTAAATAAAAAAATAATAATAAATACTGTAAAATAAAAGAAAAAATACTGCATCGCCATTTGGAAATCGTTTCACTACACATGGAACATGAGACTGCAACCAGCTGAGAAATCCCCCACACTGCGTGCGTTAACTCCCATGCACATAAGAAAGTTTATTCACATATGTTTTTGACTTTCAGGATTTTTTTTTTGTGCACATTCTGCATGATTGATTGTGTGTGCATGTAATAGAGTAAAAAAAAATATATCTATCAGAAATTATAAGTTAAACAAAAACATAGCTCACAGCCCAGTCTCACCCGCTCTGAGTAATACCGGGTGGCCAGTCGGTGACTCGGCTATCACAATTACATGCCACCTCCATGGACATTATCCTTCATTTGGTGATCATTTAGCTTAATGACGGGTTTTTCAGGAATGTTCATTAGGGATTATGGGGAAACTTTTGTCGTGGCCCTCGACATCTCCAAAGCATTTGACAGGGTATGGCACAAGTCTTTGCTATCTAAACTTCCCTCTTTTGGTTTCTCTCCCCCACTTTGTTCCCTCATCTCTAGCTTCCTTGAGAATCGATCCATGGCAGTTGTTGTCGAGGGATCGATTTCTCGCTCTTTCTCTACCAATAGTGGCGTCCCACAGGGTTCTGTTCATTCACCAACTTTCTTCCTTCTTTTTATCAATGATTTACTTCACACTACAACTAATTCTATCCATTCTTACGCCGATGATTCTACTCTTCACTCTTCCTCACATTTTCCCTTTCCTCCTAACTCTCAAACTAGATCTGTTTCTAGAACTGATATCATTACTTCTATCAACGCGGATCTGTGCAGCATCTCTGAATGGGGAGATACAAACTTGGTTAAGTTCAATAGTAACAAAACTCAATATTTACCAATTACACTTTGTAAATTAGACGATCTCCCACCAATTACATTTCAGGACGCTATCATCCTCCCAAATTCTGAAATAAATATGTTAGGCCTCACCATTTCCTCCAATATGTCCTGGAAATCACACATCCTTAGTATAACTAAAGCTGCCTCCCGAAAGTTGGGAATGCTGTACAGATGCCGCAGCTATTTCACTCCTGAGCAGTTGCTCCAAGTATATAAGGGATTCACGCGTCCTAACTTGGAGTACTGCTCTCATATCTGGGGTGGCTCTTCTTCTGTCCAACTATAAGATAGGGTGGAATCAAAGGCATTTCGTCTTATTAACTCTCCTCCTTTAGTCGACAATCTCTCCCCCCTTTCTCTTCGCAGCAATGTTGCTTCACTCTCTCTCTTTTACAGGTACTTTAACGGGCAATGTTCAGTGGATTTGGCATTTTGTGTACCGCCGGCAAGGTCGTGGGTTCGTAACACACGTCTTGCCTGCGGTGCCCACCATTTCTCTGTGGATGTCGGTCACACGAGAATAACCCGTTATAGTTCCTCCTTCTTTCCTCACACAGCCAAACTGTGGAATGCTCTGCCTTCTTCTGTGTTTCCTTGCTCTTACAATCTGTCTCACTTTAAAAAGCTGGTTTTCCGGCATCTTCGTGGTGTAGATTAATACAGTACTATAACCTTTTATTCTATATTTTCAATTTCTTTCCATTCTTTTTTTTCAACCCCCAGGGTCAATTGTGGGTCGTTTGACCTGTGCCCGGGTGGGCTAATTCCCGTAAAAAAAAAAAAAAAAGAGATACGTACCTGATTTCTAATATCCTCTCTACAGGCCTCCTGTAGACTACATTTTTGTCCTTTATAGTGTCCACCCACAAACACTAAAATGATTTATGGTACCCTGTATACTGTACAATAAAACCCTCTGAATCTAGATTTTGCCTTAAACTTGATCAAGGAAGATTCCTGATCTGACTCTCAAATCCAAGCTCATGTTTAGGTAGCAGCAAAAAAACACATGCGCATGACCCAACTGACAGCCAAAGATGAGAACCTAAGGGTAAACATATCATACTGTTATCCTAGGTTTGATTAGAATCATGCAATCATAACTTTTCATTATCTCCCAACATTTATGTTTATAATTTTAAATCACAGGGTAATTTTAATCAATGCCATGCTTTTTAGGACAAAATACCTTGGCTTAAATTACTTCTGAACCTTTAACTTATCTAAATCACCTCCAGACTGAAATAGTCTATATTGGAGAGGTTTTAATGTGTAAGAAAGTTATATAGTATTAAAATGATTGGTGAGAGTTATCACCAACATGGGGTAACTGTTGTTTCTGTTAACTCACCTGTATAAGAATACCCCCAAGATTCCTTATCTCGACCCAGTAGAGAACAGAAGCGGCTGATACCATGACTCAAGTCACATTTTGGTGTACAAACTCCTATCATCTGTAATATGAAGGACTGATAATACACATTTACTAATATCACCCTTTTTGAAGATACCTAGACAAAGCATTCAATTCTGAATATTTGTTATGCTCACTATTATTACTACAACTAGAGGATCCAGCAGAGCTATACAGTCCTGTCAGCTGGAGTACAACCATCTGGTAAACCTTTGTTTTTACTCAGGGTTACAAAGACCAAATCGCTGGTTAATGCCTGTGCATCTCCCAGCTCACCCTGCTGTGAATGAGTAACTGAATTTACATTTTGGGAATAAAGATAGTCAAATGCAGTGCTGGTTCAACTCCCTCTGTCTGTACAGGAGGCTTGGCATTGGGTGTGCTGTATCAACAGTGCTCCTAATGAACCATCAGGCCTATGGAACCCACTTTCACATATCACTAAAGAAGTCATGTAATGTAACTGCAAATTGCACAATTGAAAATCCATTACTGAAATGTCTGCCCTCTATATGCTGTATTACAGCTGTGATATAGCATTAATTGTACATACAGTATAAATGTATTATTGTACAAAATATATACATAAATGTACAGCACAGTACAGTATAATTAACCTTTAAACTGAACAATACAAATCTGTGGCTGCCTCAATTACAGTTCAGTACATGCAAAAAATTAGCTCTTTAAATTGAAAAATTTACCTTCTTTACCTTTTAATATACTTGCAAAATAAAGGAAAATATAATATAGGATTAGTAGTGTACAGTACAGTACTGTATTTTCATTGTTAGTAGGGCTGGAAGGCTCATAACGTTGGTACCAAAAACTTTCTCCAGCCTGGTTTACTGAACACTATAATAATGTTCCATGACAAGAATTTTACAGAAACTATATCTCAGTATTTAGCACTTACATGTGTTTATTTACATGAAAACTATTATGGACGCTTAGAAAGAAGAAACTTACACAAAAACATTCATGTGTTGATTGATGCACTTTTCTTCACTGTAAGTACTGAATATACAGGTAACCCCCAATATATATATATATATATATATATATATATATATATATATATATATATATATATATATATATATATATATATATATATATATATATATATATATATATATATATATATATATATATATATATATATATATATATATATATATATATATATATATATATATATATATATATATATATATATATATATATATATATATATATATATATATATAATAATGTACAGTAAAAAAATAATAATAAAATAAAAAATAAATAAATAAATAAATAAGTAAAAGTAATATTTTGACACACTTTTTTCTTTAAAATATGCAAATTTTGCTTTAACAGATGTTCTGCAAAAGGCAAAATTCAAATTACAAGCACACAACTACTGGTACATTAATCTGTTACGCAGTCAAGATCTCCACCTAGGAAGTGCAGAGAAGAATAAATGGTCTACTGTTCAAAGTTCAACTATGCTCACCACCCCTCACACCAATAAGACAAGATTTCCTTTCAATGCATCCCTGTGTCTCCTACATGTACAGTGCTTTTGTACAGGCCTTATGCATACGTCTACAGCTCAAGATGCCTGGTCAGTGTAAAGTAGAACCCTTCGTGCTACTTCCACCTATACCGAGAAGCAAAACAATGAAATTAGCTTGGAAATCATGTTAAGAGTTGATCAAGCATCAGGAAGTGAGTGTTCTCCCAAATTTAAAGACACATCATGTCTTTCCACTCCACAATGGAAGTTTATACAGGTTTGACAACCCTTTATCTGAAATTCCAAAAAACGAATAGCTCTGAAAACCGAAAGTTTTTTGGTGGAGCAATATATATATACATATATATATATATATATATATATATTTTTTTTTTTAACAGGGATCAGACCACCCGGGCACAGGTCACTGACCCACATCGGGACCTGGGGGGCTAAAATGTAATAGTAATAATTATAATTATAATAATAATAATAATAATAATAATAATAATAATAATAATTCATAGTAAATCAATTTTTTAATTATACACAAAAATAAAATAAGAATGATAACAATAATAACAATAAATAAAAATACAGAAGTAATAACAATAATACAGTAATAATAAAATGATAACAATAATAAAGAAATACAAGAATGAAAAAAAAATCAAAAGTGAGAAACACGACCTAGACCTATGAATTATTATTATTATAATTATTATTATATTTTAGCCCAGTACAGTATAGTATAAAAAAATAAAAATAAAATCTAACCATTCTGAAATCCGAAAAATTCCGAAATGCATCTGGCCCCAAGGATTTCGGATAAGGGATTGTCAACCTGTATTACGGATTAATGGTGCCCAGAATAAATTAACATAAAAATTTGTAGTTATCTTTAATTTCTGGCTGACCTCCAAAACATTTTTTCATACAGGGTATATATAATTTTCAAAAGTTTTCATAGTGGCATGAAATGTATTATTAAATGTATGTGGAAAGTCAATAACCCTTTTAATGTCTCATGTTCTAATTTAAAACAATTAGGATATTAGAATGAGAGTAACTGCCTGATTGCTTCCTAAACATCAATTCATAATGGGAACTTATGTTCACATTCACCCTCCTAAATCTACCATACAAATTGTATTATCTTTTTATTGTGACAAAAGGAATAAACATTTCTGGTCAAGTTAATACCAGTAAAATTATTTAAAGTTTTATTACCACTGTACTTTAAAGGCTTTAGATACAGTAGGTACAGTCCACTAGACTTCATTCTTGTCAACACACTCATGAGGAGATGACATTCAGAGTGATACTAAACTAGTAATGGTGGTACTGATGCTAATTTTGACTTATGGTGAAGTAGTAATGGTGGTGAAGACTTGTTAGAGATGGTGCTAGAACGCACAAGAAATTACACGGTAATATTTACAAGTTTTTCTGAGGCTTTATGAAAATATGTATCTGATAGTAAGCTGTATCCCCACTTATCTCTCGTTTAGTGATAACTTCGCTTTACGTTAGATTTTCAGAAGTGCGACCCCATCATTAAACAAGGGATACCTGCAATGGTTTCATGTGTGTTATTTTGGAAACAATGGCTTTCAATGCAGAAAATTTCAGAAAAACAGAATAAGATCCCACTGAGCAAGTAACCAATGAACAAGAATTCAGTTTAAAATCTTTTTATGTTTTTGGATATGAAAATTCAATGAATGAACTTCTATTGAATTTATTGAGCAAAATTATGACAAACAAGCTCTCATAACCATTTGCAGAGTGGGGCTACTAATGTAAGTGTTAAAAAACCTAATATTATTGATATTTCTCTTAATTATTAATTGTGTGTGCATACCATCATAAAATTAAGAAGTTATTTTACTACAACGTAGGTATTGTGTCTGAAAAGTGGAGTTTGGGGGTCGGCCCAGTCTCTATTTCAATTAATCCCATATGTTATGTTGTTCACTTTACGCGTTTCTCACTTTACGCGGGCCGCCGTGGGTTCAATTGACCGCGTAAAGTGAGGGTTCACTGTAATTAAAAAAAGTCTAACTTACAACATCTGTACCATAAACATCTGAAGTCATCTTGAGCTCCCAGAAGTGGTGGTGACCTGGGGAAAGTATTTCGTTTCCTCTGATGGCTGCAGTGCCTGAACTGTACGCTGGGTTGAATGAGATCTGCCGGTCATCACAATCAAGGAGGATACTGCCTGCTTGGCCACTTTGTTCACATGTGCTCCATACCCAAGCAAAGTCTAAAATGAAAAGAAATAAATTAATAAAAGCAAGTACAGTTATCACTCACCAACCATGGGTTTACCAGCTCTAAGTTTTGAATATCCACATTTTAGATAAACAGCAGACCATCCTTATAATCGTGAGAACGAGACTGAGAATTACTGTGAAATAGTGATTTGCGATAAATCAGTCTAAGTATGTATTTCAATAGGAAATACTGTACTACTGTATTGGGGACGAGACTGGAGCCCCAGAAAATTTCTTTAACCCTTTATTGATGGGGATATTTACGTGAGCTATCTGCCCAGGACTAGGTATACTTTACGATGCAGAAAATGGAACAAACCGCGTAATTTAATTCAAATACATGTAGAATGTGCCCAAATTGAGATACAGAATTAGAACAAAAAATTGAACCATAAGAAAGCTTCTTTATTTTTTCCTCTATGAAGAAAGTATTCCAAGACTTCTTGGTGCTTGGAGCGATATAAAAAGTACTGATGGGATGCTTGGGCATTTTGAGGTGTTGATTGGATCTGGTGGCTGTTGTATGTGGTTATAAATCATGGAGAGGAAGAGCGGGAGCCCAGAGAGTGAAGGGAGAAGAATGAACAAGCATGGTTATCCTTGGTGAGATGCCCGTGCTGTTATTGGCTGATTGCAAATAAAAAAGAAAAGAAAAGCTTTTCCATAACTATGGCATAAATAAATGTCATTAAAAAAATTATTGACATGAAATTATGAAAGATATTAACAGTCACAAACCAATGACGAACATGTCATCCTCGAACTGATGACAATAAACTGTATAGGTAGTAGTCATTAACTTCGTAAATGGTGGTGTAGATACTCTCGCTGTCTTAATTAACAATTACAATATCATAGAATAATTGCTTACAATCAAATTCATGTAAAATAGAACCAATAATGACTGAAAGAAATGGTGCACAAGTAAGATGATTGTAAACATATGTTCATAGCGAAGCGACAGCTTGCTGCACCATTTTCATATCAGGAGTAAGGGACGGGTTGCATGCCAGGTTTGCGAGAGATTAGGAATCCTCCCAATTAGGGACAGGGTTTGCAAAACATTCGTTTACTGTACACAACTATGATGCCAAAAATCATTGTAAAAAATTGGACAATATCTTACCTGTTTCCTCTTCTCCGCAGCTACACTGAATAAGCTCTAGGTTTGTGTGCATGCAGAAAGCACTAGTACTCTGGGAGGTACTACGACAGTAGGGACTGTAGACACTGGTTGTTTGCATCAGTGTCCGTCGCGACATTCTGTCAACTGACTGTGAAGACAAACCCATTCGTTAATTTTTTTAGGAATCTATGCCTATACAGGTATACACCACACCAAGTAATACTGTAAAAAGAATACTGAATATAATAATAAAACAACATGCACTTAATTTCCATGTCCAGTAGACAAAAATATTATTATCTTTTCCATCTTTATAATTTGAAATGAGAGACTAAATGCTTTGATAAGATGATGATGATGAAGAGAATGGTGTCTTTAAACAATCATTAGGAGCTCCAAAATCTGCACAGGAAACAACACCAAGAGGGGAATTAGAGTCAAATGTATGGAGACAAGAATTGAAGAAGGGCAGATGAGGTTCTTGTCATATAGGTGTATTTTAAAAGGAGAAAACAAACAGATGAAGAGAATAGCCGGTAACAGAAGAAGTGAAGATAAATGGATAGTGGTGAAGAAAATATGGGTGGAAATGCCTACATGTTATGCGATAAAGACTGAATTAAAATCCTGAAAGTTAAAAGAAATGACAAAGGAAGGTGATAAAAGTGAAATAATGAGACACAAGGAAATGGAAGAAATATATGAAGAAAAAAAAGTGTGACAATGGAGGAAGGAAATTGTAGGAGTGGAGGAGGTACAGTGAGTTCTGCTATAACGCGTGTTTTGATAACGCGAATTTGCTCTAACGCGATTTATGAATTAGGAACGATATTTGTATAACGCGAACGCTTGTTTGCTATAACGCGATTTTTACTTACTATTTCTCCAATTTTGTGGTATTAATTGTGAATATGGTAAAGAAGAATATCTCCAAGAAGCGTTCTGATGATAGAATTCCCGGTGATGATCGTAAAAGAAAGGATATAACACTTGAAGAGAAGCTCGATGTTATCAACCTCAAAATCACCCTTCTCCCCCATCAAGTTACATTCATATTTTTTCAAGGTAGTGTTACATTTACTGTATGACTTCATTATTAGATATGAATGTAACATTTATTTAGACTGTGGTATCCTTTGTGTTAGGCTAACTACTAAATTTTTTCGATTTCGAGTATTCTGCACCTAACCCTATTTTCTCCATAAGCCCTGTTATTTCTATTACGCGATTTTCTACAACACGATATTTTACAAGAACACAATTATCGTGTTATAGCAGAACTACCTGTACTGTATATGACAAAAGACCATCATCTTATCCCTAATTTCACATAGCTAAGTGGAAGACAAACAATTCAACACTAATGGATAGAAACAGATATAGAGGAGATACAACGTATGGTGAAGCTGGTGCTGAATGAGAAAATTTAGAACACACAATACTATGGTGTCCAGGATATAAAGATGAAAGAAAAACAAACTACAGGTATACCCTGAAAACTGACGTCCCATTAACAGCTGATTTGCATAACCAACTCGATTATATATAGAGGAAACACCCTGCAAGTTTCTTTGATACCCCGGAGATCTGACAATCGAGAGGAGCGGCAGAGCTGTTTTGAATTTGGCAGGCGGTGGCTCGGTGTGAATTCTTGCTATGAAAGGGATCTGCGTGCTGCCTCTGACTCATTCCCACATCTCAGCACTTGTTTACACTTACCATGTGTCTCTGACTTTGCGTTTTTTTTTTATAATTCCGACTTCGTGCGTTAAGCAATCATGCATACCGGTAAACGCCCCAGTAATAGTTCCTCTTGTGCTGCTTGATGTGAGGTGATAAGGCATAATAAGAGTGGTGATGGACCAGCAAGGCTTGGTAGAAACTTGAACTTGCCACCCTTTGCCATCTCTACCACCCTCAACACAGGTAACTAAGTCTTAATTTATGCTTTACATTCCTTATTTATTGGGTATTATGTCTGCTTTATTTTCTTGCTTGACAGTATGCACAACAGAGATATAAAGGGTAGATGGGAGTTTTTGGGGGGTGGCCGGTACCTAACCCCCTGAATTTGTTATATTCTTATGGGATGAATCACTTTGATAACCATTGTTTCACTAACCAATGACTTTTCACGGTCACTATATGCGTTGGTTATCGGGGGATGCCTGTATAGGCTGCAATTGATACCTGCAATTCAGCCCCTCAGGTACCCAGAAAGATTATGAAGCCTGCAGTTACCTATCTTATGTATTAAGTACTCCAGAGGACTTTACTCAGTAGTGTTGAAGAAGCCACAAGTTCAAAAAATTGTCGGGGCATACAGTTTTGGAGTGAGAGTTGAGAACTCTTGGAACAATCTGCCAGTGTTGTAATGGCACTGAATATGAGCTCATTCAAGACCAGACATGACCAGCGCTGGCACAGGTAGATACATTCTGGAGCCAGTGCATATCCAGTACAGTACAGTACATAGTACTGTACAGGTATACTCGCCAACATATTATCCACAGTTGTTCTTTGGATGATACTGAGTAATAAAATTGAAACGACAACATTGTGGTATTTTTTTCATTTTAGCCTATCCTTCGATCATAAACTGTCAGTGGGCAGGGCATGAAAGAGAAATAATGGGGTAAAAATACTGGGAACACTGATCGTATGGCAATAATTTCACTTCTCTAGTTGATTTTTAAGTGAAGAAATAAATTATTTACCGTAATTATGGCGCCGTCAGATCTCGTGGCAACCATATTTTGGTTCACATCATCTGCTATTCGGGAGCATCCACAGTCTTTGTTTACATGTCAAGAAACAAACAGCGATCTCATTCGACGTGTTTATATGATTTATATAGGATGACAGTAAGAAAGTCGAAATGGCAATGCACAGGTTAGGAAGTTAGGTCAGGTTAGGTCAGGTTCTAATAAGTTTTGCGCATTCTCGCTTCCAATTTCATGTTCAGTATCATGCAAATAGTATCTCCAGAAATTTTGGTTCAATTCCATAAGTTATTTCCAGTGCTAACAGTCTCCTCCATCTTTATCAGTGTAGCGATCTGGCAACTCCCCCGTCTGAGCATTCTCCTTGTTCTTATTACTTACATGTACACAGTTTATGTGGTCTGAGAGCTCCCCCAGTTAGGTTAGGTTAAGTCAGGATAGGTTAGAGTAGATCAGATTAGGTTAAGTAAGGGATAGGTTAGGTTAGATCTGGTTAGGATAGGATAGGATAGGTTAGGTTAGGGATGGGTATTAGTATTACTCATGAGGAAAATATACTCAGGCTGGGTAAGCTCATTGGTATTATCATCATTTTGATCATGCAGCGAATTTAAGTTTAGGTTAAGTAAGGTTGAAATTACGTTTTTCTGGTGGTTTTTGATGTGTTTTGAACGATTCTGACCTTTGGTAAATAGGTGTATGACCGAAACAATTTTACCAGCTCATGGTCCAATGGGTGATCTGACAGCTCCCAGACTGTGTATACAGCAGTCTGGGAGTTCCCTCTCATTTATGCAATTATCAGCAAAGGGATTGCTGAGACTGGGGGAGATAGCAGGGTAAATTTATAGTAGTACACAGAACTCTGTTAGAAAGTCAAAACTATGTTTCTCTAGTGTATTTTGTGTTTTGGTTGGTTCTGACCTTGATTTCCATCGGAAATTGCCTGTTGTTTTTTAGTTATCGCCCCCTTCTAGCCCCAACAAAATAGAGGATCCTGTTGGAAGCCAGGGTTTTGGGTGGGGCATTTTCCCACAAAAATCATGGCAAAGTGAATACAAAATACACCCAAAAACACTAAAAAAACATATAAACCTAACCTTTTTTGGGATGACCTAACCTAACCTGACCTGACTTAACCTAACCCTCACGGTGTTTTTACGTAACCAGACTCTCACCATATGAGGGAATCACTGTTATTTCTTACCTTATTCCGAATTAGAATCTTTAATGAGGTAGGGAGAACACCATGATATCTAAAAAATGCTATTGCTTGTTGGTTTTTTCCCCAAAATGTGCAATCAGCTCCATATAATTGAAGTGACACTCATCGCAGACTTCAATGGTAAGAAATGAATTTGAATTTCGAAGCGTGAGAAAACCAAAATCACAATCGAATCTGATTAGGAAAAAAATGCTTTTGATTGGCCGCGTGATGTGTACGGGAACACATGCGCATGACAATTTATGAAGGAAACACCCTGAGTGGGACGTCGGGTTGGCGATAATGGCTTTAGATTAATGTAATTAAATAGAGAAAGATTTGGCATGCGCTATCTCCGTTATACGTTTCCGACGGTAATGTAAAAGAAAAAAATTATCTTAAAATTAGACGTCGCTTTCGAATGTGATAAGAGATTTGGGGTAGGAATGTTGTGTTACTATAAAAATACCGATATCAAGACCGTGATACCGGTTTCTTTGGTTATGTCAGGTTCTGTGCATTTTCGTGTTCGGTATCATGCAAATAATATCTCCAGAAAGTTTGGTTCAATTCTATAATTTATTTATGGTGATAACCGTCTGCTCCACCTTTACCCATAATACCTACTGTAACTCACATGAGGTACAGCAGCCATCGCACTATCAGCAACAACCTTCCAGTAAATCTGAACACTACAATTACTACTTAGCGCTTCCGCATTATTTATAACAAAACCCAACGAAACAAGAAATTCAATGAGTACCTTAATATGAAAAAAGAAGAAAAAACTACAGCAAAATACTGACCTCGGAAGCCTCACCCGTCACCAAGCAAATCCCGGAACTGCGTATATTACTCTCTGGTCCAAAACTTGAACATATATATGTCTCTGTCTACTGTTTATGACCATAATCTTGCTGACGTTTACAGACACGAGATGACTCAACCTGCACCCAGTATTAACACCTCCTCCATGAACACAACACAGAGAACCACTAACGATACAGTGATCTTTTATATAAATATTTACTTTCATTAAATATTGTTTGTGCAAAAATATGGATAAATATAATCCCATTCTGGAAAACTTTAGGAGTTGTAAATTCAATTACGTATTTCTTATTAATATTTTGTTGGTCACAGACTTATTAATCCATATATCTTCCATTACGCATAAGTAATAATCAGTTATATATATGCGTTTCGTAAACTGGTATTGTATTCTATTCACATATGCAGCTGAGGGTGGCTAAACACATACAGGATATTTATTTTCCTAACCAATTTAATTAATGACCACTCCAATTAAGGATGGCCAACAGTGGTGTAGCAAGAAAGTGCAGTCGATGTCGGGGCGAAACTTGGAAGTGCCGCCTCCTCAATGAGTCGGTAAGTGAGCAGGGACTACACGATGGGGGATATTGGGGGGCTTGGAACCCATCCTCCAACGTTATTACAAGAATGGCTTACGTGTACAGGGCACAGAACTAAAATTATTCATGTAATGGCCTTTTTAATTGATCAGACGACAGTTTACGTTGATATTTATTATTTGATCAATTTGAAGATGTTTAAACTGAACTACTGTATATCTCACAAATACGCTAAATTTTGTGATTATACTTAAGTTTTTGTGGCTACTCACATGTGCTTCCTGCTAACACCTTCTGACGACGTCACTATAATAGATCGGTGTCACAAGACAAAATATGGCATGAATAGAATACAGAAAATAATGAGTTGCCTTAATTACAAATCAAATTAAATACATATTTTTTCATCTCAGCCTTTACATTTTCATTTCCCATGTGATTATCAACAGAACACTCATTTGGACAACTAAAGAAGGCAACAAAATGCATTCAAAATAGATGGCTCAGTGAACAAATTATATTAAACATTTGTAATCACTGACTTGCACCTTTGATCGAGTTTTACAAAATCATTAACTCACTTCTGGTCACTTATCGTTGCGAATAATTGATAAATATTGTTTCTAGCATTTAACTTTTATTTCCTATTTTTTTTACTTTTATCCTCTTCATCACCGATCGGCTCGTTAGCCACTTGGGCGATCGGTCACGTCTCTGTTGCGCACTGTTGGCAAGAACTGTACTGGGCATGCACCGGCTCCTGAATGTACCTGAACCTGCTCCAGTGTTGGTCAAGTCTGGTTATTTTCTGTGTGTGTGTCGATCGGGTCGGGTCGGGTCGTGTTGCGTCTGTAACAAAGCGTGTTCGGCATTCGGGCCTTCGATGTTGAGCGGCAGAAATTGGACAGTGATTACATACTTTTACTTTTACTTTTCTCCTCTTCGTCACTGATCTGCTTGTTAGCCGCTTGGGCGATCGGTCACATCTCTGATTACTTTTCCTTTTCATTTATCTTCTTCATCAAAAGATCGGCTCGCTAGCCGCCCGGGCGATCGGTCACGTCTCTGTCACGCACTGTTGGCAAATACTGGGCATGCACCGGCTCCTGAATGTACCTGAACCCGCTCCAGTGTTGGTCAAGTCTTGTCTTGAAAGAGCTCACACTCGGTGCCGTCACAACACTCTCTGGTAGATTGTTCCAAGAGTTTACAACCCTCACTCCGAAAAAGTTTGCCCTCACGGTTTTCTGGACTTGCGGCTTCTTCAATCTTGAGCTGTGACCCCTTGTGGGGCGAGCGTCCGCCAGCTCCAAGTAAGGACACTCAACTGAGTAGTGCCCCCTGAGATGCTTATACACCTCAACTAGGTCCCCCCTTGCCCGTCTGTAGTATAAGCTAGGCAAGTTCAGGCGCTCCAATCTCTCAGGGTAGCTGAGGTGCCGAAGTGCAGGCACCAGTCTGGTGGCCCTCCTTTGAGCATTTTCAACCAACTGACAGTCCCTAGCATATCCCGGGGATCAGATGGGGTGACAGTACTCCAGATGGGGAAGCACTTCACTCCTGAAGATTGTTACGAGGGAAGGACCGTCTAGATATCTGAACGACCTTCTTATAAGACCCAATAATTTATTTGCCTGATTTACCTTCTTCTCACAATGGCCCGAGAACTTCAGCTCATTGTCAACATACACACCTAGGTCCTTCTCACACACAGTTTCAACTAGTGCAGTTTCTTCATCCCGTTGGGACATATGATATGCCTCCTTACCGTTGGTACGCCCCAGGTGCATCCTCTTACACTTCGTGACATTGAATCTCAGCAGCCATTTCTTCGACCATTCCCGGAACCCACAGAGGTCCTTCTGCAGTTCTTCACAGTCCGCTTGGTTCTTAATTTCCCGAAATAACTTGGCGTCATCGGCAAACATTTGTATGGAGGAGTGTACAACGTCAGGCATGTCATTTATGAAACAAACAAACAACAGCAGGCCCAATACACTGCCCTGTGGTACCCCACTTGTGACAGGTACATATGACGATTTCGTGTCATTAATCACCACACTGCTTGCGGTCATGTAGAAAGTCTTCTATCCACGCTAGGACATTTCCCCGAATTCCGTACCCTTCCAGTTTGATTTTCAGCCTTTCGTGGGGTACACTGTCGAAAGCCTTGGCAAAATCTAGGTAAATATTGTCGATATTACCACCCTGTTCCAGAATATGGGTGCAAATATCCAATACCTTGAGCAATTGTGTTAAGCAGAAGCGCCCCGGCATAAAACCGTGTTGGCAATCTTTTACAAGGTTGTTTTGTATTAGATGTTCCATTGCGGCATCCCTGATAATACTCTCAAGTACTTTACATATTATGCTGGTCAGGTTCACTGGTCTATAGTTTTTCGTGGAGTGACGATCGCCCTTCTTGAAGATAGGACTCACATAAGCCACTTTCCATTCACTGGGGACCCATTGTTCATCCAGGCATTTACAAAACAGGATCTTCAGGGGCTCTGCAACCTCGTTGCACAACTCTCTTAGCACTCTAGGATGCACCATGTCAGGTCTGGGACTCTCATGGACCCTTAGCTTGGACAGTTTATTTCTAATACCCTCTTCTGCGAACACAATGTGGGTCAGTGCTGCGTCGAACCGTCTGTCCTCAAACGCAGGAAGGTTAGTTGCATCCTCTGTTGTGAACACCGAGGAAAAGAAGCTGTTCAATGCCTCAGCTTTATCCTGGTCAGAATCTGCGTAACTACCATCCACCAGCCTCAGGTCTGATACTCCTACTCGCGTTTTCAATTTCGACTTTGCATAGCGGTAAAACGCCTTTGTGTTTGACTGGACCTCGCTTGCAACCAGCCTCTGGAACTCCTTTTCAGCCCTCCTACACTCTATCTTTGCTTGGTTTCTGGCTCTTGCATACACCCTCCTGTCTTGCTCATCGTTTGACCCAACCCACGTCTTGAATTTCTGGGTTTTCTTCTTAATTTTGTCGACCGCCGCATGGTCCATGTGTAGGGATCCTCTCGTATTCCTAGAAGCACTGGGTTTGGTCTTGGGTAAATATTTATCGATCAAATGGGTCACTTTACTAGTTATGATATTCAGCGTAGTATCTGCGTTCTTGTACCTTAATAAGTCAGGCCAGTTGATACCCCTCATCTCTTCCCTCATCCCATTGTAATTTCCCTTGTAATATTTGCACCTTGGCCTGGCCTTATCCTGAACTAGGTAACAGTTAAATCTTAGTGATGTGAAAGTGTAAATCGATGTAGGATTTTTAATGCTAGACGCGATTGTACTTTTGAAAACTAAATTTCCACCGAGTTGGAGGTACAGCCAAGCAGGTCGGGAGGCCAACAGCCTACACCCACAAACTCGCTGCCATATGACAAAGCTTTTGTTGATTTTTTTTAAGGAGTTGTGATCACGGCTGTGATAAAGGCCAATCAGGGAGTGTAGTACTGTGATTTTAGGTAAATCAGTTCATAGTGTCATCAGTGTCCGCAGAAGAGCCTGTAAATAACTTAAAGTGAATACATATTGACAATCAAGCTGGTAAGGACCACTGCCAGCCTATTTGTGTCATAGGTGCCACAGAGACTTTAAATTTTATTTTGTTTGTGTGCTTTCTCAAGGACTGAAACTGTGTCTATAATACACCATTCACAGCTATATACAGTGAACACAGTGATAGTTCATAGTGTCATCAGTGACCACGGAAGTTGTAAATAACTTAAAGTGAGCGCTAACTAGCAAGCAAGCTGGAAAGGCACCGTGCCAGCTGAAACCAAGTCGAGTTATAGGTGCCACAGAGACTTTAAATTTTATTTTGTTTGTGTGCTTTCTCAAGGACTGAATCTGTGCCTACAATACACCATTCACAGGGAGATACAGTGTACGCAGTCACAGAAGACAACTCTATAGGCAACAGTGAGTAGCTAAGTACTGTTCTTTTTTTTCTCTCTTTACTTTTTTTTAAATAGGTGTAATCTACACAGTCTGCAACCCCCAACAACAACAACCATGAGTATATGTGATTACTGCAGCCTGCAGTAATCACATATCCGACGTCTGCAGTCTGCAGGGAGACGTCGGATATGGAGGATACAGGCCTGACTAATGCGACGTTTAGGACGTTACTAACTGCCATAAAGTATGATGGCTGTTGCTGGTATTGCCCTGACTGTGCAGTCAAGGTGAATGAGGCGATTGCAAACCATAAGGGAACGAGTTCTCTAGGGACGAAAATAGATGAAGCTGGAGCCCTGCTGGTTGCCAAACTGGAGCAAGTTGGGAAAGAGATCCTTGCTAAGACTGAGGAAGTAGCTGATAGAATGGAGGTGGTTGCTAAGAGGAGTTATGCTGACATATTAGGAGGGCCACAGGAGGGGGCGGGGAGTAATGCAGGATCAGAACAGGTTCTACAGCAGATTGGGACTCTGAAGAAGTGTGTCGAAGAAATGAAAATTAACGGACCTACTGTTAGGGGGAGAGGAGGAACACCAGGAACGTTTCCAGCGCAGGAACAACGTAATAGTTTTTGGAGTCCCAGAGAGCCAGGCGGAGGGAACTGTGATTAAGGTAACACACGATAAGATACTGTTTCAAAATATTTGTACAGAGGTTCTGAAGATTCCATTAACC